AGAGAGAGAGCGAGAGAGAGGGGGTGGGGAGGGAGAGTAAATTTCACAAGCGCAGATGATTAGAAAATTATATAAAAGCATACACGTATTTAAATAGCTATAGCCTACCACATAATACCCATTCACATAACAATCTCATGCTTGGCGATGGTTTCATTAAAACCAAGAACAGCTAGATTCTATTATACGACTTCAAAGAGATACCCAATAGAATAATATCGTTTGTCCGTTCCCCTATCTCTCTCTCTCTCAGAACCCCGGCCATGGCGGGTGGCCTATTCTCTATCAGCAAGAGATTCTTTGAAGAAATCGGCACTTACGATGAGGGAATGGACATCTGGGGAGCAGAGAACCTAGAACTTTCCTTCCGGGTATGTTCACCATTGATCAATAGCTCACCTTGTGAAGGATCCCAGTAACCTGTGAATTTTGTAATAATAACTTTCCAGATGTTTTTTTCAAAATTCAACACTTTTTGTGATTTACTTGCGATTAGTGTGCTGACTTACTCTCTATAAAGCGACTGGCTTCAGAGCGTGGAAATATATTGGTATGGATCTGTTTGCATAGAAAAAACTAGAGCTTTAGTAGAATCTTAGAATCTGTCATTGATGAAAAGTTGATAAACATAATACTTTCTCTGCAAACTTTAAAGTACTGAGAAGTTCTTCGGAAAAGCACACTGAGATAAGCAAAAGTTCAGCTTCCTAAACTGTGACTACTTCACAGAGCAAAGAGTATCGACTTTTTTCTCAGTGCTTTTCAGGTCACTTACAACTGTTCTTTTATTTGAACCGAGGCAGTCTTCTGTAAACTGAAAAACCGAGTTTTCGTTGCTTTGATTTTCTTGTTGCTTTCCTTGTTTTTCATACCCAGGTCTCACTCCCGCAGAGAACTACTGGCTACATCAGACTTTCAAAGTTCTAATTTTGAGTTCTCTGGATGTCTTTCTATATGTTTTTGTATGTTCTTTACTTGTACCATATTTTTTGCCATGCCTTTTTCTCCATTTGAAATTTTCGGTACTGCCAATCGAATAGAGGTTCTACAAATTGACCTAGCCTTTCCCCTTAACCCTGAAGACAAAAAGATGGGTGTACAGTTAAAATAAAGAGGTAACTGCGAGTTTGCGCAATGATGAAGATTACACCACAAAGTCTTTGTCGGAATTCAGATTAATGAATATAATTTTTTGAAAATCATTGTTTACTTTGTGGAGTTTAGCTGTAGTATACACGCAACTTCTGTGGATAGTGATATTTACATTTCAATTTTAAACAAAACTCTCAATGCCACCGGTTAATGGATGTTAAGTATTCCTCGTTAATTATCTAATTTTCTGGCGGGGCCATTTATCTCTCTCAGCCCGTGCCGGCTCTGGAAGAAAGGGTCCAGGCAACCTGCTCCTAACAAATGATGTTTCTTGTCCAAATTCGAGCATAAAACATTAACGAGCAAACAATTCATCATAGGTCTGGATGTGTGGTGGAACTCTTGAGATTCTGCCTTGCTCACATGTGGGTCACATCTTCAGAAAGAGGTCTCCATACAAGTGGCTGACCAGCGTTGGCAAAGTGTTGGTGAGGAACAATATTCGGATGGCGGAGGTCTGGATGGACGAGTTCCGGAATTATTACTACACCTGGATCAACATTCAGGAGAAAAAAGTGAGCAGTCAAACGGTTACCGTTCGTGTGGTTTTTATTTTTAAAAGTCCCGTTTTCTCGACAATGGACACTTCACGAGGATTTAAGTGTATTGAGTTTGGATTTGTTTCGTTTTTTAATGCCATTTATGGTATTTCTTGGCCGTGTTTTGGTCTTTACTTTGTTGGGGGTATTCTTTTCATTTAAGCTGAAAAGGGGAGGGGAGGGGGATGCGCTTGTAAGCAATGAATAAATAAATAAATGTACCATCAGCAAGCACACGCTAACGACGGTAAAGGTTTGACACAGCCTCACAAAATAATACATTTTTGGGTTCACTGTAGAAATGCATTCGCACTGATCTGAGAGTAATATTGTGTAAGAGAGTATGGGAAGGGATCTCGTGTTTTATTTCGCAGTCTTGAATAAGAATACCGAGTCAGAGCTTATATTAAAAGAAGCTCTTTCCCTGAAAATCAACCAAAGAGAAACATTGTCACCTGTTGTAAATTACTACATAATATAACATAATACATGTAGTATAATAGGACGTTACATATAAAAACTCGTGTATAACATAGTACAATAGTATCCACTGTTGTATGTATAAAAGAATCCTCAGATCATTAACACCTTCTGTGATATAATCATTTACGTATAAGCACTGTGCTCTTGACCTATAAATACCACTAGCAAATACTGAGAACAGAGACCTGACAATATAAATATTATTGTTATTAATAATAATAATAATGATAATAACAGTACTACTTC